TTGGGGGAGGCTGCGCCGTTTTCTCTCCCCTGATGAATAGTCTCTGATCTCCTATTTGTACCAATTTTAACCCTAATCCTCAAATCTTGAAAATTCCCACCGTGTCCTCCTTATTCACATTCTTTTTTATTTTTCTTTTATATATTAATTAAAACCAACACTAATAATTTTGAGTAAAAACAACACTATTAATTAAAAATATTAACAATTATTAATTAAACTAAACTAACTAACTAAAAATAAAATAAAAACAGTATTAATAAATTTTTTTTGAAATACTGTTAGTAACATTAGAAAAAGAAAAGGTTTAAGGAACCAAGAAAGAATAATATACACAAAAAGTATTAAGCCACGTGTCGCACTTTAATTGGTGAAAAAGATAAAATCCTAAAAAAAACCAATTGCAAGTGGACACGTGTTTAAATAGCAAGAAAATAAGCGGGCAATGTAAAACATGAAAGGATAATAAAAAAACGAAAATACTGGAATATGGGTAGGACAAATTTAGGATATGACAATAAGATGCTCAAAACCTAGCTTTGGAATCAAGCATTCACGCAATATTAAATATCATTAGAGTGTTATGGTTTAGGCAAGTCCTTATTTTATTTTATGTACACCACATTATGTTTCAGTAACTTGGCATAGTTGTAGGATTGCCTAGTTGAGTTGTAAATTCAACATCATAGTTCATTGTTAACTAAATATTATCACTAGGGTTTAGTGAGTGAAACACTAAGGGCTTTAGTGTTTGAAGAAAGTGAAAGGGTATTAAAGCGGTAAAGCGGCAAGCAAAAATTAATTAAGTACCCGATTTTGTCGTCTCCACATGGATCGATTCGAGGGAAAGAATTTCGTTCGACAATCTCTACATATCTAAGCTTGGGTTTTAGTTTCCAAAGGTAACATGCATAAATTAAAAGCGGAAAAGCAAATAAATAACACATTCTTTAGAAAGGAGCAACTCATCAGGAGTTGTATTTCCTTCTACCCATCATGTACGAAAAGAAACCTACAATCAACTGCACTCACCCGAATACTCGTCAAAACCCCAACGCATCGCTCACAAATAGAGGTTATGTCTAACGCAAAGTTCGAGAGATCAACCGTATTCTCTCGAAGGTGATATCTCACGTAACAAAACAACACATAACATTAAGATCCGACACACACACTCAAATATTTAGACTATTTCCTATAGCCAATAGATCATTATCATAGGTCGAGTTTAAAAAGTGTATGTCTACAGCGATCCAAAACCCATTAAGATGGATATTATATCAAAGATAACATCGATTAAGATTTGTAAAAGAAATTTTATACAAAGATCCATAGATGAACATACTGTTTTGGATTGGGGCAGTACCTGTCCTACTATCGGGTAGGCCCAACCCAATAATACGTTGGAGAGACCCAGCAATGTCCAATTCTCTATAACATCGGGCAAGCTCGGTACTCTCTGCACGGGAAGAGCTCACACACCTTCCTCATGTTCTCCACGTGTTTCCCATGCGAGGACACGTCATCAGGCAACTACCTGTGTCCTAAAGAACCAGTCTTCTGCCTTCCGAGGATCACACGACAGTTGAACCAGGGTGAAAACCACGTGCTGGTCTTTCCTACGCCACGCAGACCCTGACAGTTACTTGTGTTGGGTCTGGCAATCCAGCCCAATGCAATGTAACTGTTGGCCCAGAGTTGGAGGCACATTATAAATACCTTATTTCACTAGAGGGTCAGATATTCTAAACTCTACTCCTTCTTTATGTACTTACTCTCTCTTACTTTGTTTCTCACTTTAGCATCGGAGTGCCTTGCAGGTACACCCCATCCGTTTCTAGAAATTATGGAATTTTTTCTAGGCTTCACTATCTTCTTGCTAGGATGCGCTACACGAGAAAGCTCCTTTCTGCAACTTTGGACATTCTATTTACTCTCGCCTGAAGCTCGCTTTTGACTCGCTGTGGAAAGATCTCGATTAGACTTCGCTATGAGCTCTCTTAACGAGGTTTCAGGGGATTTTCTTTCTTGCTTTATGGTCCAACCCTTAATATTTGCACCAATACCTGCAAAATGAATGTAAATCAGGAATAACATGTATAAAAATCTTGTTATCCTAACAAAACTCTTATCTACTAAATAATTGGAGATTTGATACTAGAAACTTGCAACCCAAGTTAATAAGTGCCTAAATTAAATGTGTTCAATTACTATTTATCATTGATCTTCTAGTGAAGAAAAAATTTGATTGAGAAAGACCTTTTTAAGTGGAAGACTTGTAAACTGTGATTCAGAAAGGTGTTGGTAGACCTCTAGAAGTCTTATTGATAAAATTTTTGAATTTGTTTGTTTCTTAGTCCATTTTACATGACGTGGACGACCCGATATTGAAATTATAGTCGATAATCTTCCAGTGAAGGAAATAGTCGGTTGAGAAGGACCCTTTATACTGAAAAACCTGTTAACCGTGATCTAGGAAGGTGGTGGTGGACCTTCGGGAGTCCGATTGATAAAATTTTGAATTTGTTTGTTTCTTAGTCAATTCTACACGATGTGGACAATCTGATATTGAATATTCTAGTCAGTGATCTTCTAGTGAAAGAAAGAGTCGGGTGAGAATAACCATTTATACTAAGGGTGGAAAATTTTGAACCGCCAATTTGAAATCGACCGACCCAATGTCTTTTTGGGAAAATGGGTCGGATCGAGTGTCAGGTTGATCTGGTTGCTTAATTTAGTTTGTATAGGATTGTTTCGATTGTGCTCGAATTATTATTTTCAACCTATCGAAACCTGAATTAGACTGAACTCAACTAATATTTATTTTATTTATTTTTCTTACTATAGAGCTTACTCATTATAAAATAAAGTTTATAACATTGTCAGATTATTATCATTTTTATAATTTAATGGTGTCATTGTGTACTCATAAGAATACAAGACATGTAATATACAAATTTGAGTGTTATTTAATTTGTGGTTTAAAGTATGATATTAACCAAATTAATACGAAATGGTATTGAAAATGTTATGGCATAATTATATTATTTTTTCCAATAATAAAAAAATAGATCCTTCTTTGGAGTATTTGATAATTTTTTTTTAAAAATATTTACAAAATGAATGTTTGTGAATTTTATTAAACAATAGGTTATTTTGACAGGTTTTAGCGCAATAAACATTAAACCGATCAAACTCACCTAATTAATCTGTCAAAGTGATTTAACCGAATCTGTCAAAAGCCGAAACTTTATCGATTGAAATCAGGCCTTTAAAATGAAATCGCGGTTTGCATCAGATTTACGTTTTGGATCCGATATTGGATCAAACCAACTGATTGTCCAACCTTACTTTATACTGGAAGACCTGTGAATTGTGATTTGGGAAAGTAATGGTGGAACTTTGGGAGTCCAATTGATATATACTTTTTTTAATTTGTTTGTTTCTTAGTCAATTCTACACGATGTGGCCGATCTGATATTGAAAATTCTAGCCGGTGATCTATGAGCGTAGGAAATAGTCGGGAGAGAAGGACCGTTTCTAGTGGAAGACATGTGAACTATGATCTAGGAAGGTGATCGTGGATCTCCGGGAGTCGGATGGATAAACTTTTTGAATGTGTTTATTTCTTAGTCTATTTTCAACAATGTAGACGATTCGATATTGTAATTCTAGTCGGTGATCTTCCAGTGAAGGAAATCGCTGGTTGAGAATGATTCTTTATAGTAGAGGACATGTGAACTGTGATATATAGGAAGGTAATGGCGGACCTTTGGGAGTCCAATTGATGAAAATTCAATTTTTTTTTTGTTTTTTATTCTATTTTACACGATATGAAGGATTCTATATTAAAAATTTTAGTCGGTGATCTTTCAGCAAATGAAATATTTGATTGAGAAGAACCCTTTTAAGTGAAAGACTTGTGAACTTAATTTAAAAATGTGATGGTTGACCTCTAAGACCCTAACGAATTTAAAAGTCATTTTTTAAAAATCTTTTTTACATATATTTATAATTGTAATTAATATTTCTCTAAAAAAGATATTTAAAATAAATAAATAAAAGTTATAAGATTGAAATTTAATTTTATTTCAAAAATTTATTATTTTAAAAATTACACTATTTTAAGATATATATTTAAAACTCAAATTCAAAAACTAAATTTATTTAAAAATCCACAATTTCATCTGCATCTATTTGCAACAACAAATTAAATCTGTAGTATAACTATTCTCATTTACAAACAAGTGGATTTATGAATTTAAGGAGTCAAACTTTCTATAATTTAATTTTAACTCATTTAATTAATAAATTTAATTTTTTTATTCATATTCTTTTTCATTTTTTATTCGTGAACTAGTTCAACAATTTTCTTTCTTTACTTTTGCTCAAAATCAAATTCTTTTACATTTTTCTTATAGTGGTTGTGTGACAAACTCCACTAACTATTGAGAGCAATACATTATTTTCAACAACGGAATTTGCAATCTGAAGAATTTGTTATAAAGATCAAATTTTTATTTTAGTGGTGGATTCTTATTTTACACAAGGATAAAATATTTTATAACTTTTATCAATGACATTTATATCTTTTCGATTTTTTTAAAGATTGAATTAAACTTTATTATTTAATTGTATATTAGAATAGAGTATCTCTAATACTCCTTTTAATATCACATTTTACTTATAAAAAAATATCTACAATGAAAAGTTAATGTTTTAAAATATAAGAAAAACTAAAAATAGGGGATAAAGAAAAGGATGTTGAAATTATTTTTTAACTATTTTGTTGACATAACCTTGCAAAGTGAATCCTTATGTGGTATTTGAATATAAATGTGACAAATGTTATGGCATGTGGCAACATATTAGACATCTATGACACTCTTTTCCTATAAATCTTTGTAAGATACTAAAATCATTGAAACTGAAGCATTAATCTTATCCCTCTTCACTTGATAAAATAAATTTCATAGTCTTAATAGGAACATCAACAGAAAATGTTGCAACTTGTAGTGTTGACCCTTTTGTCATCAGTGTCTTGTTTCAGTTTTGATGCTTATGGAGATGAGTTAGGGAATACCGAATGTGATCCTCCATGTTTACAGTACTCTCCTCCACCACCACCACCTTCTGGTGGCTACCCTATATATACTGCACCTCCACCACCGCCACCACATCATGAGAAAGGGAAGTGTCCTCCAGCTGGAAGTGGTGTTGTGTGTTGTACACCTCCTGCTCCTTTAACTTATGCTCCTCCTAATCCTTACACCTATGTGCCTTATGATGAAGGTGAACATTCTGGTGGTTCTGGCTACAATGTGGTTATGCAATTTCTGGTTCCGATTTTGTTGTTATTTTCATCTTTTATTCTCTTCTGATTTCTGATTTTGTTGGTTTTTAATTTTAGTGATCATTTTAAATTGGAAATCATATGTAATAGTAAATCTTCTACGATGTTCAATATATGTTCACTGTGTTGGTTTCTTACATGCACTCTTGAAGGTGAAGGCTACCTCATGATAAGCTGATAACTATACTAAATGCATGCTGCTAGCATAATGACAAAAGCCACCGTTTCAATATTGAATTTTGGAGTTAACTCATTTTTTATATTTCACCAAAATATATACTTCAAAGTTATTAAGAACCGCTTGATAATTGTGCAAAGAACTTCAGAGCTAGAAATAAGGGAACTAGTCCATAAAGGATACGGTTCTTACGAAAATTGGCACCGTTTGAAAATGAAAAGAATAAAATTTAAAATTAAAAAATGTAAATTTTACACCAGTTCTAAACGTTCAATATGAACAGTATAAGTCCATATAGAAGAAAGTTCTTGGCGTAAAAAAAAGACTACAAAATTCATGGGTGGTGTTGTGCTAGATTATAAACATCTTTTTATCGATCCATTTAATAAATGAAATTTCTTATTCTGCTGTGGAAAAATACGAATATGCGGTGGAAAAATACCTTTTGAAAAACATAATAGCGGTGAAAAAATACCTTTTGAAAAACATAAAATGTCTCTCAGATTTTGAATATGAATTTTCGGACGTCCTTTAAAAATTAAATGTTCTGAAGATGCATCTCTTTAATATTTTAAAATATATAGCGTGTATCAATTTTAAAAGGCATTTGACACGTGTATTTTTTCGAAGATGCATCTCTGTAATATTTTAAAATATATAGCGTGTATCAATTTTAAAAGGCATTTGACACGTGTATTTTTTCGAAGATGCATTTTCGTTTATTTTCGTTTATTTTATGGAGATACATTTTCGTAACTTATCAGAACATTACATGTTGTGTTTTGTTTATGTTTATTCAGATGAAGATTTATAAATGTTATGTGACGAGTTTTAAACCATATAATTGATGATATGAAAAAAAATGACGTATATAAATCTAGATGATCAAAAAATGATATATACAAATAAAGTTGAAATACACAATAAAGTAGCATGAAGTGAAAATAAAATAAAATTCATAATGAATTCAAAGTAGAACTACTATATATTACTGCACTGCTGTGTATGTCAGATTACATTTCATCTGCTTCCACGAGCTCCGCGACTTTCACTATCCCCATCCTTCGGCACTATCTCTGGTTCATCAATGTCTCTCGTGACTCCATCTTGATGACATCTAAGACCTTCCTCATATCAAACTGATTAGAAAAGATACTTCTGTCAATGCTTGCCTACGCAATCTCCAATATAAAACATCTAGGCAAAACAACCTTAGCATGATCTAACTGTGTAAGCTCTTCCTCTAGTATCTCCTGATGAGTTGGCCTCAGTGGATCTTCTGGAGCAGTCTGCACCATATACGGATTTGACACCCTAAGAACCACCTGATGTACTCGCCGACGTAGCTCTAGTCGCTCTCATCTATGGTACTTTGTGCCTCCTCCGGTACCAAATGACTCTCATAATCATCAAATATGACATCCATATGTCTACGCGCCAAAGTAAGAGGAGCAAAGACAACAGGATGCTTGGGAATGGTCTGAGTGTAGCCGAACTCCCGTACCACGCGTTCGGGAAGACAATGAGCAATGAGACGTGACCCGCAAGGCAACCATCCCGAATATAGCACTATATTGTTAAATGGTCACGTTTCACGGTGATCGAAATAGTTGTTAAAGTGCATGTCTGTTAGCTCTCAATTTTCGACGCTAGTTGATTTTAGAATCATCTCAAGTCAAAATGTCAATTTGAAACATGTCAACCTTTCGACACAATCAGAGAGCAATCCAAGTCGAAGAGAGGTGGACAAAGCTACTAAAAATTGCTAAGTGTTGGAAAGTGCTCGACAAGGGTCACGCTGAAGAGAACGCGCAGAAGTTACAACCAAAATTGGAGGGAAACATTAAGTGTTCAAAATTCAAAACCAAGAATGGACGAACGTGGGAACGATTGAGATAGTGGGAAAAGCGCCAAAAGGGACACGTTGTGAAGCCTCAATCGTCATTTAGTAGTTAACCTCTAGTACTATAAATAGTTGTCATTTTATGTAATAAGAATGTTCATTCATTTTATACTAGTCACTCCAAACAACTCAAAGTACCCGCGTGTAGAGAAATGAGTTAGCGAGAATGTATGTGATACAACACCAACCCTTTTTTATTAATGCGATTTACTCGCCTCTACCCTATATGCGCCTTTACTCATTCTGCACTTTAACTTTCAGCTTTTACATTTAAACCGTTTTTACAAGCTTTTTATGCGCTTTTACCTTCAAAGATCCCCTAGTCGAACGTGGAGTTCAGATTAGAGTTATTTTTATGCCATTTAACTTTTCTGCACTTTTAACCTTTCGCCCACTTATTTTTAAAGCTATTTATCTTCCTGCAATTTAACTTTCAAAGATCCCTAGTCGAACGTGGAGTTCAGAGTAGAATCTTTTGCACATTTATTTTCAAAGCACTTTACTCTCTTGCACATTTATCTTCAACGCCATTTACTTTACAAAGACGTTATAGTCGAACGCGGAGTTTGATTGTAATTTCTCGCCCTTTACTTTACAACATTTACTTTTAAAAGCTTTTACATTACTACACTTTTACATTCTTGCTTTTAATCTTCAATGCATTACTTACTTTCTTTTAATCTTCAAGTCATCTTACTTTCCAAAAGGTTTCACAGTCGAACGTGGAGTTCAACTTAGGGTCTTTTGCATACTTAGCACATGTTCTAGGATTTAGTATGGTCGATCCTGCAAGTTAGTCAATTTTACCCTAAATTGATAGACCAGCGGTTATTTACCAAAATTCACAGTAAACAATGTCCTCGGCAACCAAGCGGTCAAGACACACTATGAATGGCTCTATCGTGTGATTTCCTCTGAGTAGGGAAAATGCAGTAGCATGTGGCACATACTTAGTGTAAGACGCTACACCTGCCCAACCGGAGATGCACGGAAAGTGTAGAAGGATCCAAAGCTGAAAAGTTTGAAACACACGAATCATCAGTAATGGCATTGCATAGATGAAATGAAAATTATACATAAATATCCAAAGACGAATAAGTATTACCATCAACAGTGTGATGCTGCTTGTGACCCGCTTCGTATTCCACCAACAACCCTTTGATAACTTTGAGTACAAGTAGACTAAACAAGCACTTCCCAGTTATACTCAAGGATCCATTTGAAGTCTTCGAAGTACCCTAGGTAGACGATGTGAAGTCAAGAAGACTCTCCATATATGGTGTTTTGATGAAGACAAAGTAATAATCAAATGAATGGCAAAAGAATGAAAAAAGCTTCAATTTATATCATGTGTTCAAAACTCATTTTTTTTAAAGTCTAGCATTAGTTATTCTTCATTTGAGGTACAAGCATGCAATATTATCTTTGATATTTTAGTGTTCAAAATATACCTCTAGATAATCTCTTCTATGCATAACATTTCTTGGTTCACTAAAAATGGTTTTTTCACTTCTGTCAAAAGTATTTTTCATGTTTTAGTAGCCGTAACCGGTTATAACATTTTTGGTAACCGGTTACGCTTTCGTATGTTGCCTCTCTCCAGCTTCAGGAATTTTTCCTTCGTAATCGATTACATCATTTCATGTAATCGATTACGGCAATGATATTTTGAATTTCTTTTAGTTTTGCTTCAGCGTAACCGGTTACACATTTCCTTGTAACCGATTACCACTAAAGCAGTGGCTGCTATTTATTTCAAAATTATTCTAAATGTTTTTGGTTTCACATCCTTCTAGCATTGCACCTATTCATTAAATCATTCACTTTCATAAGGGTGTTAGTGTGTTTTAAATACTGTCATTTTCAGATTTCAAAACTCACCTCTTTCATAGCAATTTAACATCAATTACTCACTCATTTTCATACACGTGTTTTTGATACTTGAATTCTCATTGAGAAATTTCTACATACTATTTTCATATCAATTCAGAAAATATTTCTCCTACATTCATAAACACTTGAGCACTACTATATCATTGTAAATTTCTTGTCGGAAAGAAAAGATCAATCTTAGTGATTGATGTATGTTCATCTATTTTCTTTACTCAAATAATTTCTAGATTTGGTTGTAAATTCCTTTTTATTCTTGAAGCCACCTTTCTTGAGAAGTTTCGGACAATCCATCTTAATATGACCTTGTTTACCACATTCATAACAAGTGACATCGAGTGTTGAAGCAGAAGCCTCGTTTTTCCTGAAATGTTTCTTCCTTTTTGCTTAATTGAAAGATTTATCATTTTTATTAAAGAATTTACCAAGTCTCTTTACAAGAAGCATGTAGTTCTCATCCTTTTCAAGAGCATCATCTGGTTCTTCTTTTGATTCGGCTTTTAAACCGATACTTTTGGATTTCTTTTCTTGGTGTTCATGTTTTTCTAGTCGTCCAAGTTCTAACTCATGTTCTTGGAGTTTGCCAAACAATGATGCAAACGTCATAGTTGAAAGGCTTTTCTTCTCAGATATTGCTGTCAATTTAGGTTGTCATTCCCTCGTTAGTGATCTAAGAACTTTAAGATTCAATTCATCATTAGAAAATGTCTTACCAAGAGCGATCAAATGATTTGTTAAATGCACAAATCTTTTTAGCAAAGCGACAATGGATTCTTCGGGTTGCATTCAGAACATTTCGTGTTCTTGAATTAATGTACTCAATCTTGATCTTTTACCTTCAACTGTTCCTTCCTGAGTCTCCACCAAAGTGTCCCAAATTTCTTTTGCGGATTTATATTGAGATATGTGGAAGAATTCATCTGTACTTAGAGCACTTTGTAGTATTTTAATGGATTTCATTTCATTAAGGACTTTCTTTTTACCATCTTCATCATAAGAAGTTTTAGCTTTTGGAGTCCCGACACCATTAATGACACTAACAGGATTATGTGGACCA